AAACTACTAAACCAACTAAAAACTGTACCTAGAAAAGTAAACACAAACAGCAAGAAGCTAGTCTCACTCAAAAGTAAACAACTACTACAGAAACGTAAGGAACTACTACAAGAAAAGAAAACAAAAGATAACCGCCGAAAAATCGCAGAAATAAGCAAAAGCATAAGCAAAGAACTACGGAACGAAAGAAAGACGAAACCATTTAATACATACTATGAAGAATTATATAGAAAAAACCGGAGGAATAAAAAAGGCACTGAAAGAACTAAATCGAAAAAAGGATTGGATACTAAATGTAAAAAAGAAGGATGGTAAAATTACAGAGAAGAGACCCGAGATACTAAAAGCTGCTACAGAATTTTATCGGAATTTATATCAAAGTCAAAAGCTGGGACAAATGGTAAGAGAATATGATGCATCTACCGACGAAGAGGAAATACCTGAAATACTAAACGAAGAAACCATAAAAGCAATTAGTACACAAAAGAATGATAAAGCACCAGGATCAGACCTCATTACAAATGAAATACTGAAAATTACATCACCAGTTATTGGTCCGATGCTTACAAATATATTTAACGAAATTATTAAAACGGAAAATTTTCCAGAGGATTGGACTAAATCTACAATAATATTACTACACAAAAAAGGTGACAAAGGAGATATAGCAAATTACAGGCCCATAAGCTTAATGTCTAATATTTATAAGGTATTTTCTAAAATTATACTATTGAGGATTACAAATATTCTTGAAGAGAATCAGCCCAAAGAACAAGCTGGATTCCGTCGAAATTTTTCAACCATAGATCATATACACACCCTTAGACAAATATTACAAAAATATAAAGAATACAACAAAAGCTACTATCTAGGGTTTGTCGATTGCAATAAAGCATTCGACACACTAGAACACGAATATATCTGGGATGCACTAAAAATACAGGGTGTACAAACAAAATACATACGATTACTTCGTAATGTATACACCAAGAGTACTGCGCAAGTGAAGTTAGAAGATATAGGCGAAGAATTCCCTATCATGAGAGGTGTACGCCAAGGAGACCCTATCTCACCCAAATTATTTTCTGCCGTTTTGGAAATAATATTTAGGAACCTAGACTGGACAAATGAGGGACTAAACATAAACGGTGAAAACTTGAGCCACCTACGCTTTGCAGACGACTTAATAATATTCTCGGAAAATTCAAGATCACTAGAAATGATGCTGCAACAACTAGCAGATGTAAGTGACAAAGCTGGACTATCGATGAATTTAAAGAAAACAAAATTCATGACAAACTCATCACAAACAGACACGATAAAAGTAAATAATGAGCAAATAGAGTACGTACAGGAATATATATACTTAGGACAGCTAATATCTACTGAATGCTGCATGGAAAAAGAGATTGAAAGAAGAGTTACCAATACTTGGAAAAGATATTGGTCACTCAGTGAAGTGATGAAGAACAAAGATATGCCTATGAAAGAAAAGAGGAAGGTATATAATATGTGCATTCTACCATGTTTACTATACGGGTGTCAAACTTGGGCATTGACAGAACATCTAGCAAATAAAATTAAAGTTTGTCAAAACAGCATAGAAAGAAGTACAATAGGTGTCAAAAGAAAAGACCGAGAAAAATTAATAGACATCAAAAGTAAAACCAACTTTAAGAATGCATACACAACATACAAACAGCTGAAGTGGAGGTGGACAGGGCATATGATGAGAGAAAAGCAAGAAAAATGGACAAAACTTATCACATAATGGTACCCTTTAGACGGAAAGAGACATAGAGGAAGACAGGCTAAGAGATGGGAGGATGACGTTAAGAAAATAGCGGGTTCAACATGGACTCGCACTGCAAAAATGAGAAAAGACTGGAGAGCTTTAGAGGAGGCCGTTGTCGGAAGACAAGTTGTAACCGAACTACCGTTTGCCGATAATTAATCAATAGATAATAAATTGTTAGTATATTAGTTAAACTCTAGTTAATAGTCAAAATGTGTTTTTTAGTCTTAAGTAAATTAATTTTAGGCACACGAAACTACTCTGTGTAAAATTGTTAACAACAATAAAGGCTTATTTATTTATTTTATTCCGTCTTAAGGAAAAATGAGAATAAAAGTATGCATTTTAAATAAGAAGACATTAGGTGACTTTTGCAGTCTACAGTAGGTACAGTGAACAATTTAGACAATTTCTTTGTTATTTATTTATACAAAAATAATTTACCAAAAATCTGTTTTTCCTGAAGGTATAGAAACATTTTAAGGTTTCAAGTATTTCAATAAAATACATTAAACTGTTTATAGTTTGAACAATGTATCTAGTTAGAAGGGTTTAGTTAATGAAGTGGGTAGAAAACTACCCCGTTTGAAACTATTAAAGCTAGTATAATGCGACATATTTCAATTTCTACCAAAAAATAAAACTAGGTATTAGGTATACTCTTGTGCCACGCTCGTTTCAATAATGATTTGTTTCTTGTCTTCGCTATTCTTTGTTTACACATTTTTAAATAATACTATGTAGGTCAGCAAAGCAATAGCAAGCATAATCGTCTGTTTCAGCTAAAGTGATATTATTAATGCTTACACATCTATTTTAATGGTTATATGTCGTAAGTAAACCAAACAATCAATTGTTACTATGTTATTTCGTATTTATTAATAGGGTTCTGACAATTTAGTGCATACTGCTAAATCAAAGGGTCGTTAAGGTCATTGAACCCATAGGGAACCAAAGACGAGTGTTTCGCCACTGGCGGGGCGCGGGAGCTGCAAAGGCCCGGTCGTTGACTCCCCCTTGCACTGTGAACAGATTTATTTTGATAGTATGTGTTTGGTTTAGCCCGAATTAGTTCTAAAGCCCTTTAATCGCTGTCTGTTATATTTTAAATCTGGAAAAATCCGGCAAACGGTGACCAAGATTAGGCAATACATAGTGTAAACTCAAGTATTAATCACGCTATTAACTTATTATTCTTATCGTTACTTAGAAATAAAGTATGAAACATAAGGGAACCTCTCTTCGTTTTAGTATCAAGCCGATCATATAAAAGTGAATGTTTCCAAGCTACTGAACCGGTGTGCTAACGGTTTGCGGGATCAAAATAAACCGTGCTATAGTAATGCAGTTATGTTTATCGAGTCTGAGCTAAACATCAGCAGAGACCGACGGGCTTGATAATATTATGACTATCTATATTAATATCATACCTAACACATACAAAATCTGAAGAACTCATTCTATAATCAGAAAATATTTGTTTGCAATAAACTATTTTGTCATATTCTAATAATGGATGTGAATTATCTTTATTTTACTAATGGAAAGCTAGATTGTCAATGTCGATATGTGTTTAGATTGAGAATGATTTGTCATGAATTGTTAGTTAAATACTAATAAAAAAAACCATAGGCGTCCAATTGTAAACCTTCTTAAAAAAAAATTTAAATGTTATTTCCAATTATAAATATTAAATCTGGCTATTACGCTTTACAAAATTTAATATCATTTCAAGCGTCCACGTAGAGAATTAATATCGTAATGGCGCTCTGTTTCGGAAGGGTTAAGTTCGTTTCAGGCTTGACCACTGATTTCTGAGCAACGAGGCCAGCAGGATTTGCACGTGCCAGTACCTACTATCGGGTTGACGACCCATGGCCTTGGGGCGCAGACCCTTTACGATTTAAAATTGCATTTTTAAAATAGACTGTAACACAAACAATACAACTAAAACACGTCGAATGAAAGATGTGTCGTATTGTTTATTTTTATTTTCTTATTTATATTACAATTTAAATGACATTTCAAATAATTTAGAAAACATAAATAGGCAGACAATAATTCATCGAAGTATAATGAAGTAAACAGCAGAGAATTTTTGTGAGCATGTTTATAAATATCAAATTTATCTTGAAAGATAGATATAAATAACTGACCACACAGTGATTAATATAATATTGATAACAATAATGAGTGCATACTGAACTAATGAATGTACACAAGGCTGGTTCAATGTGCTTTGTTCCAACTTTCAACTTCCACTATTGATCCAGAGTCTCGCGTTTACGGAGACCCTGACCAGACAAGTACCTGCTACCTACACAGGTAGGCGCAAATAGAATTAACCTCACCTACCTATTCAAGTTTTACTACCTGCTAATGCTTTGATACTTTCAAAATACACATTGCAAAAAGCTGCTTACTATGCTAACTATACAAAAAACTAAATTTCTATGGCAAACCCATCTGTGATAAGTTTTTTATTACTATTACCATGTAGGTTCTTTATTATTAATTTAAGAACCTAACGATTTTAGGGTAATATTGTTTGACAATAAATTAATTAAATGTGATATTTCTTGATTCTAATGTTATTTTTATACATATTGACATGTACAAGTATTTTTAATAATAATATTTTTGTTGATGGCAATTTTCCCCGATTTTATGGCCATGCGCAAGCGGTAGCGTTGGCAACATTGATTTAGTTTGTTTGACAGACGGCCAGCTGTGACTTGCAGTGAATATTATTGAAAAATACGACGAAAATCGCCCTTGATGTGTCATTTCTTTTACTATTTTTCATAAAACGTGGTGATAAATAACATTTAACATCTTAAATTGCTAACTAATAATATCATTCCGAATTGAAAACAATCGAAGGTCTGCTTCGGTGGCAGGTATCGTGTTCTAATTAATAATTGATATGTTTATGTAACGTAGTGTTATGTTAATTTCTTTTGCTGATTTTCTTTATCTTTGTTCCAGATTTGAGAAGAAGTTTAACATTTATAATCTGTATATTTTGAAAAGTGCAGTAAGTGAGATAGTTTAGTGGAAATAGTTGATGTGGTTTTGATGTTGGCGATAGTGGATGCATAGACAGTGGTTTAGTGTTCGCCCGGGCATGGTTCCGGGCAGGTAGCGGGCGCGGGCGGCCTGCGCAGGCCACACACAAGCAGCCCCGTATCTCTCAGCGTCGTCTATGGCCGAGCAACACACCACACCGTCGCACTCTGCACTCACGAGAGAGTCCAGCAGGTAATATAAATATAAACCTGTGACACAGTCACCATATTTGGTTTGTAGATTGAACACCATGTCTCTATCGAGGAAGGTTATCCTGTACTAGCCATGTCACAGTATCGTGTACCAATATGAGGTCTGTTTCTTATAATGATTTTTAAATGAATGAGTTAAAAAAAAGTATTAACGTCATCAATAATCATTTTAATGGTGAGAGTTATGTGAAATTTTTTAAGTGTAGTATGTGCTGTAAGGAATACTCATCAGATTACTCAATTATTCTTGTAACTACGTAGTCCTAGTACCTATTATGATATATATTGATATCTTGTTAGCATATCCTGATGATGTAGTGATGTAGAGCTACATTTGTGTTTGTACTTGACAAAGAATAAATTCTACTGTTTTTTATTTAGAGTACCTACCCTCATTTTTAATTCATAATTTTAGTAATGAGGGTTGGTTAAAATATAGTGTGTTTTAAAATTTCTTATAAATATTTTAAGCTTTGTTATTGGGCAACATATTATATCAAAGTCAAATTTAATCAGAATTTTTTATTATCTGTTCATCATTGTCTAATATGTTTTCTAATGGTAATATTTGTTTTTTTTTTTGGTTTAGCAGCGTTAAGTGGAATATAATTTTATGTAGGAATTTACATAATAGGAAGGATTTCTTTTGTTATTTGGCTTTCACAACTAAACAATGTTTACACATGCTCCAAAAATTGCTGTAGTTTTCACATAGTACTAACTAGTTGCTAGAAACCATAGAAATATATCCCTATTCATATTTTTTACTGTCCAATTAGTAACTCATGGGAGTGGTTAAACTAAATAAAACTCCAATAAAATCTATTAAATTTAAGCAATATTCATGAATAAGAAAAAAAAACATAATCAGCATGGTCATGGCTAAAATTTATATTGTTTCCAACATAAAATCATAATAATCTGTGATTAGTTGTTTCTATAGTCAATTACAAATTCCAAATTGATCAGCATTTGACACAAAGTGTTCTTTAATATTCTTAAAGTATTTATTTTGATGAGACTTTCACATATTATGTTTGTTTACATGAAAAGCTCCATGACAGTATAAATAAGGCAAAATTAGTAATATTATTTGAATGGAAGGATATATGTGTTATTAAAAGGCAGTATTGCCAGGACTTGTGATAATATAACAGTTCCAAAACCCCAAATTCTTATATTTAACATTGGATGGTTTTTGTAAGTTAAATGGATATTTTCCTAAACCAAGCTATGTCAGAAGAACTAAGTGTACATTGCAATAACAATTTTACCATCATACAAAATACAATAATTTAATATAATATTATTTCAAATATTTGTAGTATATTGTAGTAAATTGATTTTGCTGGACTAATCTTTTAGTTTTGTCATTTTGCGAAAACCACCAATAGCATTTTAGGTATTTTAGGTATAGGTATAATCTGTTGTTAGATGTACACTACCAAAATAAATTAATAAGTGAAATTATTGAATTGTTTTGCAGGTCTTCTCCTAGCAGGGTGGTGGGCGGTCGGTGCTTACGTAACGTGCGTAAGGCGAGCACCAGTCGTCGCAACAAACGCACCGCCACGTCGCCCCAACCGCATACCAGCCGCGAAGCTGAGTCTCCAAGCTCTAACATTGAATTACGAAGAAGTTCACGTCTGGTCAACTCGCTGCCCAGATCTGATTACTCACTCTCTGAAAGGTGGTCCTACGGAACGGACGTATACGAAACCCGATACGATACTTTAGATTCAAAACACGGTGATACCCCACACACAGCCGGTGAACACTCAAAACGTCGCCGAACTTCATTGAATGACAAGAAAAAACCCAAAAGGCATTTATCGTCAAAAATAAGTGAGTGCATAGCGTATTGCACACGTTCACGGACTGCTCTTAGGTCTGAGAGTGTTTGTGAGCAACCCAAAAATACAAACGCACAACCCGCGCAACGTTCCATACATATTGCTACTACATCTGCACCTCCTCAAGCCACATCGAACCCGAGTGAAGGAGGATTATTGCCATTGGACGAAAGAGACTACGTGTACTCCCCCTTCAGCTCCTCGACTGTTACGGACCTACTTGATTCAGATTATTCCGTCTATAGTCCAACAGCCAGCCGAAGGAAGGGAAAGAAAAGGAAACGACCATCACATCGTTCACTATCAACCAGAAAGAGTAGTTATTGCTTATTTGAAATAGAGGAGCCCAAAAAGTTTAAAACAGACGTGCGGACAAAAGATCCAGCAGAAACAAAGATTACTTTCACTGAGAGGGCATCCCTTGATCAAGATACAGGAAAGGACCCGCTCAGTTCTCCAACGTGTACATATTCGTTACGAAAACGTCATAATCGAGACCTCGGCCCGCCCACTTCCACTGTTGTCAACGACAGTTCAGGTAAACATATCAACAAATTCCTATTTACTTTAGTAAACAAATGTCGTCTAGTCAAAACGTCATATGAATATAGCGTTTATTATGATGATATAATTGCGCTATTTAATATTGAACTGAGCTAGATTGCTTATCAGATGTCTTATCATATATCAAGTGCATTTATTGTAGATAGTATGAAACATTTGTATGTGTTGTTACAGTGAATACGACAACAAACGACGCACAGTTTCTTTCGGATCGTAAAAGCGCAACCGAACGCGGCAGGACTGTATCTCCGCCGCCATTTAAAGATCTACAAGGTAACTAATTAGCTTCGATTTATTATTATAGCAATTAAATTCAGTTAATGAGGAAATAAATCTTTAATTATCTATTTCAGAAGCCAGTTCGTCAAAACCGCATAGTTCTGATAGCAAACTACTTATTGTACCCCGAGATCTACCATACTTACGACAAACTAACGCCAGAAGAGTGAGTATAACAATTATATTTTAATGGAAATATTTCAGATACTTTTTAAAATTAATAAATATAATATGATTATGTAAAATAATAATTAATACATCTCAATATAAAGAGTATCGCTGCTGCAACGGGTGCGACTCTGGGTGCTTGTCTGACGAGAGGAGCTAGTACCTCTCAACGGCAGAGGCAGGAATCTTCATCCAAGAGACAGGTTTGTACCTTACAATTTTTTGTCTGGTAATGTTGAAAGACTTATTATATTTAATAGTTATATTGTTCAAACATGACATAAATATATGAACAATAAAAACAGACTAAATTGTTGACACATTAGAAATAATTACCACTTTAGAAAAGTATTTATGGTAAGATTAATTTGACAACGCTGATCTGGTGTGTTCTGAATATTTCGATTGGTTTGTGTTAGTCGAGCGGGGGCGGGGCCGAAGAGCCGGGCAGTAGCGGCCGGCGTGCGCGCACGCGCGACATGCCGCAGCCGCAGCCACATAATTCCACGCGCAAGGACAAACGAGGTAACCCAATTATTAACTTGGTTTTTATTTATTATCTTAACTTTTTCACATATAGTAAATAAAAAAATAAAATGTACAATATCAAATATGACGGGGAAGAAAATAACTTTTTTAGTAATTTATTACTAGCTTCACGGACTATGAAGTGTTAATTTCAAAATTGCGTATAATATAAGCTATATTATAGCTAGGCTTGGGAATATAATATATACTTATAATACTTGAATATATATACTTGGGAACATGACGTAACTTTAAACAACTGATCATAGTAATCAAATTATGAGAATGTTAGTTTGTTATGTTTATTCTTTATAAGTAAGATTAAGAACGCTCATTTTAACCCCAGAATAATTGGACTTTTGGTCCTTCAAGACAAGAGCATGCAATTTAAAAAAAGGCCGGCATAGCACTTACGAGCCTTAGCGGTGTTGCTGTAGGTCAGTTTCGTTGAAAGTGAAATGTTACGTTTTTAGCCCTTTAATTTAAAAAAAAAATGTTTTTTTTATACAAAATTGTCACTATTTTCTTTCTACTTCGAGAAGGTTAGAAGTGTTGATACATTTCTGCCATATTGTTATTATAAAACACACAAGGATAAATGTCAAATGATAACAGTTTTACTACAATTATAAAAATTAAGACGTGTTTAATAATACATTTTTATCTATGACTTTATATTTTAAAGGTAAAAGCAGTCTGGGTTCGTGCGCAAGCACTGGTGCTGCATCCAGCCGGTCTCATTCGCAATCTGTAACCACGGTAAGTAACAATTATAATATATGTGTTTAACGCTTAAACTGATAGAGAAAGAGAGGATGAATAATAGGTATGCAGATGTATCGACCCCGGAATATAAATAAGGACGGATTTGTATTTATATATAGAACTTTCCAGAATGTTCAAGATATGTCTGATATGAATTTTAAACAAAATTATATTAAAGGACAGTCAACGGAAAATTCTACTTATATTGTTCTTCACTCTTATACCTAAAATCTCAATCGGTAATAGCACACATTAGCTAACAATTGTTAGTTAATGTGGTGCAATTAGATTAATATTTAAAATAAATATTAATTATGTATTTGACCAGACCGACTGTGTTACTAGTATCGGGTTATATGCGGGCTGTCGTCTTGTCTGCTTCTCCTAAATATATAGTGTTTAATAATAATAAAGCCTTTATTTAAGTTACTAGTAAATTAAATTAAACTGTGTGTGTTCCGGTCGCTAACTGTCATGCGTTTCCGCATGGGCCTTGTGCTAGTGCTTGTCGTTCTCCTCTGTCTAACTCGGCCAGGTAACTCTCACTATCTTCCGAATTTCATCCTCCCACATTTGACGTTTTCTTCCTCATTGCTTTTGCCTCTTGGGCACCATTCGGTAATGTCCCTACTCCACTTTTTTACTCCTATCTTAGTTAGGTGTCCTGCCCATTTCCAATTTTGTTTTTATGTGACGTCAATGACTTTTGTTTTCTTACGTATTGCGGTTAATTTTATTTTGTCTCTTAATTTTACGTTAAATATACTACGTTCCATGTTTTGTTAGTAGGTCTCAAGTTGATGGATGGATTTTGTTTAGTTGGATTCCAAATTTGGCATCTTGATGTCAATGTTGTGTAATGTGATAATTCATATAGAAAATCCTGGAATTTTCTTTCATCTATATTAGCTTCCAAACCAAACATTCTTAATTACAGGGTGCAATAGCGTCCACATCGTCTACGCCGCCGGTGTCTGCCTCAGCGGTATCAATGCCTGATAACGCTTCCAACGATGCGAAGCCTAAGGGCAAAGGTGTGTATACTGTTTGTAAACATTTTACTCTCTAACACAGTATTTAAATATTTTTGGTATAAGATTTCTTAGACGCTTAGTGTTAGACCCTCATTAGGAAAATAGTAATCATATCATTAATAACAATTTATAATGATGTAGGAACAGGGTAAATACCATATTCTATCTTTCAAGTGATGCTAGAAATTAGAATTTTGGGTAGGTTCGCACTAAACAGTCATGTGTATAACCAATTGTGGTGGATATTGGCCATAAATTAGAGTGAAGCATTATCATAAATAACCAATGGATTTACAAAATACAGGTTAGGAATTTAATGTGCTTTTTATAGAACAGAGAGCAAAGGAACCGGCATCAAATGACTCATTATTATTCTTTTTATTTAAACTTGTTTGCACTCAAGAAAAAAACAAAACATAAAAAAAAAAAAAATTTTACGGGGGGGGGGTTTTTTTTTTTAAAAAAAAAAAAAAAATTAAAAAAAAATTTTTTTTAAAAGGGGCCCCCCGCGCACTCGCCGCGAAACGTCGGATAAATTTAAAATTATGTTAAATAGTTGTAAATTATAATAAAACATAACCCCCAAATAGTGTTTTATTAAATGAATAAAAGTTATGTTAATCAAAGACAATACTATAAAACAAAACATAAAACACAGTTCAAGTGTAATAAATAAAAATGACTGAATATTTCTAGCATCGTCACCGGCGGAGGACTGTAGCGGCGGCGGCAGTGGCGTTGGTGGTGCCGAAGAGTCTTCGTCCGAGGAAGGAGAAGTTGGACGTCTACAAGCACTGCTCGAAGCTCGTGGTCTTCCGCCACACTTGCTGGGAGCCCTTGGACCTCGGATGCAGCATCTCTTGCATAGGACTGTGACTGCAAATTCTGGTAGATATTTCATGTTAATTTAGGCTCTGCTTACACGGTTACATTTATTAATACTCAAATACTACTAAATCAATAATAACGACAATACTTGCCTTATAAGGATTACAAATAGTTTTTTTTTAAATTGTATAGCCTGTATTAAAGGTAGTAATAGTTAGGCTACCATAGACAATAAGCATTTGTTTCACTTTGTCAATCCTGAATATATACAATCTGTTTTACAATTTGTGGTCTCAAAGCGTTATGGTACTTTTCTAAGTATTCAAATTACTAAACCGATAAATACCTTTCGAGCAGCGGCATCGAAGGCGGCACAGCTGCTCTCCGGTCTCCAAGCGACCGGTGATGAAGGGCAGCAGTTACAAGCGGTGATTGAGATGTGTCAACTGTTGGTTATGGGCAATGAGGATACACTCGCCGGTTTCCCAGTACGACAAGTGGTCCCTGCTCTTGTGAATCTATTGGCTGCCGAGCATAACTTTGATATGGTAAGATTACATTTTACTAGGGTTTTGATTGGGAGAAATGAGTTTTTGTTTAGTTATAAAGGGGGTCTCAGCGCCCTTTACAACTAAACAACAAAAACTAACTGCAGTAAATTATAATGTATTAGTGCGGATTTTTTGTACGGAATATTACACCGTCAAGATATCTTCCATTACGGTGAATGCATTCTTTAAAGCGGACTAGCGAATTTGCAGAGACAACTGATATGGCTTTCACTTCCGTCGTTATTTTAGTCTTGAACTGCTCAAAATTTGTAAGAGAAATAATAAACTTTTGCTTTGAGATGACCCCATAAAAAAAACGTCCGCTGGGAGATCTGGGTGTCCACAATATGTCTCCACAGTGGCTTATGATTTTTATAGTAAAGTATACCTTGATAATCCTAATAAATTTTGTGTATACAAGATAAGACGAAAGTGCTTTTTTTAGATATATTTACTAAGCTAAATATAATGGTTTAAATATTATTGACTCTGTACATCACATATTTTGTTTCTTTTTAGCTCTTCAGTTGTTTCTTGATATATAGCAGGCCCTGTTTTTATTTGTTTCTTAATTTTATAAAACCTAAAAATTGTGGGCGTACATAACCGTCACTTAATCGTGATCACAATACATATCTATATAAGCTATGTTTTACCTCAGATGAACCACGCCTGCCGTGCCCTCACATACATGCTAGAGGCTCTACCGCGTAGCTCTGGGGCAGTGGCCTTAGCCGTGCCTGCCTTCCTAGACAAACTGCAAGCCATCACCTGCATGGATGTTGCTGAGCAATCCCTCACAGCTCTGGATATGCTATCTAGGAGACATTCTAAGGCGATTTTGCAAGCGGTAAGAAAGTTTTATTTGTCGATTTCACGTGAGTACACTAATTAAAAACCCGCCCTAATAGTAAATAAGGAACTTAGTACTCTCTTTTAAGCAAATCCTTAAACAGACAGTCAGTGTGATGCCTGAGTCAACACGAGGCTAGTTTTTCAAGCTAGGATAGGTACTGACCTGGCTTGGAACATGCTAGTTCTATTTACATGAGGCTCTGATTATTTTGAACTAGTACTATTGCGTGTATCCTGGGCTTGAGAATCCCACATCTAGCACTTTCTTATTGAAATATAGCCATGTTACGCTATGTATTGCATTACCAACTCGGTAATGGGTAATAATAAGCTTCACAGAGTAGTTTTATTTGTGTGTTATGGACTCTGTGTTAATAAATAGTTTTCTTTAATTCAATAAAATCTGCATTTTTATAAAATTAACCTCAACCCCTTTTTAGGGCTTAAAATTTTCCAGCAAGATTATAAAAAAATTGTAGTTAAAATGTGTTTGTTTTTAGCGCGGTGTGTCAGCGTGTCTCACATACCTGGATTTTTTCTCTATCAACGCTCAGCGTGCCGCGCTGTCAATCACCGCCAATTGTTGTCAAAATCTGACACCTGACGAGTTCCATCTTGTTAGGGAATCTCTTCAATTATTGGCCAACAGGTAAGCTTTATTTATTGTATAATATCTGAAGTTTTGGAGGATATTTTATCTTAAACTACTGCAAATAGAAGTACTACTGCAAGTATTTTTTAAAGGTTAGTTTACCACAAGGACCTTTAGGTAGTGAATTTGGGTCAACAATTAGCAATTTAGGATTACTAATCATATATTTTACTTGGCAACACACTGAGTTGTTTCAAATCATACACAACGCAAACCTACATATAAACCCCCCAAAGAACGCACTTTCTTTGGTGAATGTGGTAAATCACAGAACAGATTTTATATTTTTTTTTACTTATGTAATTTTAATGACGTTGTGGTTTATGACATTTTCCTTTGAATAATTGTAATGTAAAGGGAGGGCAAACTTGCTGAGTTTCTTGCCCGTTCCTCTCAGAACAAGGCCTCCTGGTAGTTTTGCGAACGGATGACGTAGTCTTGCTCTTTCGTGAATTTTGTAAACGTTGTTGACATTCATAAGCATGCTCTAAGAAGCATCTAAATTGAATAAACGGATTTTGATTTTGATTTTTTGACTTCGCCCAACACTTTTTATCTTTCAATAGGATGTTTAATTTTTAACCACTTTCTTAAAAACAAAACTATACACTCACTAACAATCATAAGAAACATTTTCTTAACCTGTCTTTTGCTAAACAATACTTATTGTGCACTAGAAGTAAGAGACTAGCTTCCCTCGACTCAGGTAGTCCTAGTATGGACTTTCTCATTTTACTCTTCTTTACTATGTGTAATAAAGATTTCTCTTTCTACATGATACATAGTATATGATTAATAAGTTCCTTTATATATTTAAGTGACTTCGATGTAGTATATTATTTATTTATATTTATTGCCAATTCATTTATGAAAATATTATGTATGTAAGAAAGAATCTACATCTTTTTAGTAAAATAAATGAAAGACATAATTTTAGTACTAGAAATAAAGATAAAATAGCTCAACCATCTTTCAGATTAGCCAAAGTTCAAAATTCATTTATGGGGTACTGTGTGAAATTTTACAATAAAATACCTTGTGACATTTTAAAACTAAATGAACGAAAATTTAAATGTTTTATTAAAAGTACACTTTGTAAACAAGCATATTACAAATTAGATGATTATATTCAAGATAAGAATGCTTGGAAACATGCTGGTCCTGCTCCATAGGACAATCCTATGATTGGCTCTATAGCCTGGACAAAATCAAATTGGTTGCTGATTTTTTGCTTTAACATATTTTTGTTATTATTTTTTATTAATAATAATAATATTTTTTTTTTGACGTTCAAAAGTGCCATTTTAGATGGTCTAATTGAAATAAACGATTTGACTTTGACTTGGACTTTATATTATTATCCCTCTCGAATGTTCTGATATTAGATCAATACACAAACAATGCCCAGTTGTTATCATAATAATTCCTATTATAATGACCTACCACAAATCTACATCAAATCTGGTTTTTTACATTGCTTATAAATTTAATTAATTTCAGATTAACAATCCAAGACAAGAAATCAGTAGAATGTGTTTGCCTGGCATTCTCCCGTTTAGTGGACAGCTTCCAACATGATCCAGCTCGTTTACAGGAGATAGCCACGCCTGAATTGCTCACCAATTTGCAACAGCTTGTAAGTACTCTTAAATTATACTAATTGAACCCAATATAAATTTGAATTCTTTATATGAAAAAATATTTTGATAGATTACTTAAGTAACTATGACTTTTTTATCAACATTCTTTAAATTTTTAATGAATATAATTTTTTGTAAAACTTTAATAGACTAGCTATCCACACGTTAAAACTATTTTAATTACCATCTAAACTAGTGTTCCCCAACCATTTTTGTGTCATATATACCACCTGAAACTTTCTAAAATTCTTATGGATGTAACAAATTGTTCACACATGAAATTTAAATGAGAGGTTTTAGGAAGAAATTACTAGGAAATTGTTAACGAAACACAGTAAGTTAATTTTCAAAACATTATATTTATTATTATATATAAATTGTAGGTTCACTGTATTTATATAGTAACAAGTTTTGTTGTCGCCTTATGTTAAGATGTACTTAAAATCGGTTTGACAGCTATAAAAATAATGAAATACCTTTCTTTCAGCTGGTAGTACAACCACCGTTGATAGCTGGCAACACTTTTATCACGGTCCTTCGTTTGTTGTGGGTGATGTGCGCCGCTTGCCCCCAGTTAGCTCTGGCCCTTCACCAACGCTCTATAGCTGACACCTTGCTTTGTCTGCTGACTGGATCCACTGTTCATCATGAGGTAAGAGCTACGTTATATAAGGTTTTTATTTATATTTAACATATATACTTAATATGCTACTACCGAGATACTTTTTAGAAATATTGTTTTATTTCAGAAGACCAACCATTTTTCGTTACATTTCACGTAATCCCCAATGATTTAAAAATAAAATAAATAAATAATTTGTGATTAGTACAATTACATTTTTGTAGCCACATAATGTTATGACGTTATGAAGGCTTGATGCCGTATGGCCATGAAACAGCATCTGTTATTTAATATTTACAGCAAGTAGAGCTATTATCACGGCTTCCACAAGAGCTGTATGAGATAACCTGCCTCATTGGTGAGCTGATGCCGCGTTTGCCCACTGACGGCATATTCGCCGTTGATGCACACTTGGATAGACCCTGGTCTGCCAACACCGAACGCGGGGCACAATGGCAATGGAGAGATGATAGAGGTATAAAAATTTAAAATTTTCATTTCATTTACGCCATTTTCTGTTAAACTAAATTTTCAGGCTTATTAAAGTTTACATAGAACGAGGGTAAATTGAAATGTAAGAGATATTAAATATTTGATAGTATGATCGTTTCAAGCAAACTTCCAAAATCATGCCAACTTTTATACAAATTCATACACATGACACATACTTCTATAGAAAATTTATTTATTGAGTTGGTTCAACTTGCAGAAATTTTGAACTACTTTAAGCAATTTTTTTTAATTTTGCATAACATACTATATAGATATACATCATCGCTAACAGTAGTTTTAATTGTACGCCGTCGTGTGTCGTGATCTGTCTGTATTTTCACTGTTGTTTTTATAAATCAATTCTTCGGGAATCAAACCCAGAACCTCTCGCATTCGTGAAAGCTAGGCGGCTAGTGCGTGTAGTGAAGTATAGTTGAATCAACCTACACCTGTGTAGGTGTATGGCGGTGTTATTCTTGGGCAGAATGTCGTGCGTTGGAGGCGGGAGTCAGCGGTTGCGAGGAAGAAGTCTGCCTGGCAACCCTCGGACGCTCCTACACGGTGGACCTGACGGCCATGCAGCAGCTTAACGACCACACTGGCACCGCGAGGCCTGTTCAGCGTCTGCCTCCTGCTGCCCCGCCGCCTGCCACTGCCGATGGAAACCCTGTGCCAGGTGGGTTCATATATTGCTTCAGATAAAGAAAAATCTAAATTTTCATATCAAAATTGCTATATATATTTTTATTTTAATGGCAAAAGTTAAAAACATTACGAAAAATATTTTTTTTATGACAGTTATAGAATCTTGTTCACATTTGCTTCTAATTTTACAAACTTTCCTTTTACTTTTAAACAACCTTTAGTTGATAATATGTTATTCAAAAATTGCAATTAACAAGATCATTATAAATTGATTTGTGCATTTTAGATATAAATATCCCAATTTTCTATACATTCTCAGATCCACGTATAGCCATGGTGCGGACGAGCCCGTCTCTCGTACGTGCACTATTAGCCGTTCTGCACGAAGTGTATTGGAGCTCAGCTGGGCCCGCCGTGCGCTCTCAGGCCCTTAAAGCCATATTGCGCTGTGTGTATTATGCTGACGCTCAGTTGCTTCGACAAGTGCTTAAGACTCAGGTAAATACATTGAATCTTATGTACATTGTATAGTCTTATATTATGTTTTCTACTTTAGTGACGTCGACTAAAACGTCACCATATTCTAGAGCTAGAAGACCGGCAGTAGCTCTAGACAGAAGATGAGTAGATGCTTCCAATGGGAAGTCACTCCACATGACAGCACCACAGAAAAAAATCGCTCATAGCCTTAGGGCTGATTGCAAATAACGGCAGAAAAAAAAAATTGTGACGAAAAATTGCAACTTTCTGTCTTCAAGTTTCTTTCGGGGGCAGGGACTCTATTTACCTGATCAAATATCGTAACAGAAGATATCAAAAACAGTTTTTTATGACCTCTAAAGTGAAACAATTATTTCCCATTAATCCTGGAACTTTCAGGCCTGTCGCCGGAGCAATGGCTAGTTAAGTTAAAAATATCTGAAAGCGTCAGCAATGGTTTAGTAATGC